CGTCTCCTTAAGGAGCGACCACTCCCCTTGAACCCCCGGCTCCCCTCCCCTCTGAGACTTCAGCACTTCCCCAACCAACCTCTTTAGCTTGTTGAAGTTCGCCCTCCTAAAATCTAGGGCCACAGCCTGACTGCTTGCCTTTGCCACCTTGCGCTGAATGGTGAATTCCAGCAGGCAGTGGTCACTGTCACCCAGGGGGTCAAGCACCCGCAGCCCCCTCACCAGGTCGTCGCCCATGGCCAACACCAAGTCCAACAAGGCATCCCCCCTGGTGGGGCTGTGCACCTCCTGGGTTAGATGAAGGTCCTGGACTCTGTCTAAGAACCTACGGGAGCACTCAGACCTGGCTGACTGCTCCTCCCAGCAGATGTCTGGGAAGTTCAGGTCCCCTATGACTACCACATTCTTAGCCTTCGCTACCTCGGTGAGCTGACCCAAGAATTCCTGGTCAAGCTCCTCTCCTTGGTTGGGTGGTCTATAGTAAACTCCCACCGTTGGGTCCCTTTCCCCTCTTTTGCCTTGAACCCTAACCTAATGGTACATCTAGTTTAAAGCTAGCTTAGAGATGTTTACCAGACCCGACAGTGTATAGGCAAAGCCATTGACTTTAATAAAGTTCCACTATTCTGAAACTTGTGACAACAGTAACAGGCCCTATGATGGTAAACTGAGTGAGGTAGGAACTAAGTTGGGGGGGGGGGGGGGGGGGGGGGCACAAAGAACTCAAGAGGATATAACACATACTGAACCTCCTTCCTTTAAAAACTTAGTGCTGTCCCCACTGCTACTCCTCATGTGGGAAGAAACAACTCCCACTGACATAATGACTAGGGACAGAAATTACACATAAACCAATTGAAGTGATCAGAAACTGGTTTAAACCTGTAACAGAACAGAACCTCAGTGCACACAGGCCAGTTTCAAAATGGCTGAAACTGGGTTAAGATAAATCTGATACTATAATTCAACAGGTTTAACTGATTTGGGTCAAACTGGTTAATGAAACTTCTGTCCTAGACCCTTCCTGGTTCAAGTTAAATCAGTCTCCCAGCATGCCTTCCAGCTCTGGGCTGGGCTACGCTGTCTGTTCCAGAGAGCAGGGCTGGCCCCACCCCTCTGCTCCCTAGCTGGAGCAGAGGGCTTGCTGACAAATCAGGGGAGGGAGGGGAACAAGTCCAGCTGGGGATGCAGCCCAGTCTGCAGGGGGGGGGGAATGCCCCCCCAGGCAAACCCCAGCTGGGTGCCTGGAAGCCGAGTTAAATACCCCTTCTCCAGCTCAAACTTACTGCTGGCTGCAACTGTGGACTACAAATCCCAGACACCTGGAAGCAGGAAGAAGTGATGAACAACCCTGCAGAGTCCTGCTGCTGTGATTCTAGACTGCAAATCCCGGAGACCTCAGGGGCAGCAGGAAAAGGAAGTGGGCACACAGCCAGACCCATCCTCTAGCACCTCCCAGCTTCTGGCCTGAGCCACTGCAGTCATGTGGCTGCATTTCCTGAATCAAAAGGTAAATGTCTGTTCCCTTTTATTTCAGTTTAATCTGAGCATCTTAGACTAACCTGCAAAGACTGAATCAATTCAGCCTTAGGCTTTTTGACTGTCTGTACCTAGCCAATGAGTTAAAGAAATTGACAAGCACATTCCAGGATTCAAGCCCATGGGTGTTCACAGGCCAAACTGTACTTGGGCACACTGCGAAAAATACAAATCGACTCCACAGATTTCAGTGAAGTCGCGGGGAGACTCAGCAGGGAAACATAATACTGAGCAAGATCACAGACCCCATGTACTTCAAATCAATTCTTGAACAACTAAACCTTCCCCTTGGCTTAAACTGCTAATGAAACAGAAACTCCTACAGAACAAAATAAACCCTTCAGTGGAGTTCATACCCATCTTGGAACATTTAAGTCTTATAGCACAGGTAGAACAATACCTGCATTCCAGAATAAATGCTGAAATGAAGCTCCCAGGTTCTGACAACACACAAATAATTTAAGATTAAAATTCAAATGGTAATCAACATCAGCATTCCCACTGCCGGTCCTGACTTTTTACTGCCTTCCTATGCATTCAAGCTGTGTACACCCAACTATCCAAACAGAACAGAGTTAAAAAAAAAAAAAAATCTTATCTGTGGTTTATTTTTAGAACCTCAAGAGCTTGGTTTACACTACAAAAGTTCCCTGTTGCTCACAACAGGTGCGGCTGATCCATTGTTAAACAGTGTTTAACTAGCAGCAAGGACAAACATCCTCCTCTAGTGCCACTGCAATACTGGAAAAGCTACCCAGACATGTGAACAGGGTTGTCCACTCAATTGGGGCCTGATGCAAAGCCTAAAGTCAAGGGAGAGTTTTTCCACCAACTCCCCATGAAACATATGTCCCATGCTGGTCCTCCCTACCTTGTCCAGCACACACAACCAATCCTGCCCTGCCCATCACATGTAGCACACACCAGTCCTGGAGCTTGTTGCTCATGCAACCCTCAGAGCCAGCATGGGACATGTGCTGCCCACAGCATGCAGGCTGAAGCCAAGGCTGCACATGGCACAGAGGGTTATATATAACCCTCAGCCTTCTCTTTTCTGAACTGAAGAATCCTAGTCTTCCCCTAGTTTGGCAACTGTTCCATGCCCCTGATCATTTTGGTTGCCTTTAATTTCATTCCAGTGATTTCAATGGAAGTTGGAACGGGTCCTTAGTTAGCAACGGCTATAGATGCTGATGTGATAATGCATTCCTTTGCCAATCAAGTGTCAGCTTAGTCTTCCTTGGCAGATGAAAACATGCCAATTCCTGGATGATAACTACACCAGGGCCTGGAGCCAAGAGTATGCAAATCTGATGACATGGCAGTTTGAAGGAAGTTATACTTGAAACCTGGATCAGATCCATATGGTTTGCTCATAACATTTACCTACCTCACGGAGCAACATAAACTTCATTCCTCCCCATGAACTGCCACCTTGATGGGGTGGAGAGGCTTCCATGTACCAATGACCCTAAGAGCAACACAGTCAGGAGTCTTGTGCTTCTGGTACAGTCACCCACGGCACTCAGGTCAGAGGTGAGAAATCAGACAAAAAGCAGTCCAAACCAACACAACACAAAGACCTTAACGGTGCAGCAGGCACATGCAGAAAGCATACTTCTCAACGGCTGCAAAGGCAGACAAAGGCTGCAGTGGAAGACTAACCCCAGGTGTCTTGGATCTTTCCCACTGCACACAGGTTACTCCTCCTCCAAGAACCACACAGCTGTCAATGTGCAACAGCCTTCTCACATAAAACATGTCACTCACAGGTGTCCAACATCTACTACAATACCCAAAACCCATAAGTTCTATGAAGTCCTGTGGCGAAGAATGAGTGGTGATGGGGACAAAGTGATCGCTGAAAGTCCCTAGTCACAGATCCACATGCAGGTAGTCCGTCACATGATGGTCACTTCACTCTTGGTATGGGACAGAAGGGCGATTCAGCAGCTGCGATTGTGACTGAGCAGTCCTTTTTAGGATCCCCTCTGCTCACCCCACATGAGAAGGGGGCTAGAAAAAGGTGTCCCAAACATCAGTCCATCAAAAACTGTTGGAAGGAACATTATTAAAAGCTCAGAAATTGACAGCAACTGATGAAACCATCAAATCCATCCTGCAGCACCCAGTAAAGAAAGTACTTGCCAGTCCACCGACCTCTGAATAAGTCCACTGGGCAGTAAGACAGATGAAGAACAAAGCTTCTGGCCCTGATGGCATGCCAGCTGAGGTCACCATAGTTGGTAGGGAAGTTACGACCAATGAGAGCTACAGTTTCTTAAAATCTGGAACATCAAGGAAATTCCTG